CAAAATCTGGATTAACACGGATTTTGTTTAAAAAATTATGATATTTCTTCATATTCTAACAAGAAAAATATGGAAAAGCATATCCAAATCCCCCCAATAAAAGGTTCATAGATTTGTCGTGGTAGATCAATTCAACCATAATTGATTTTTTATTCTTTTACTGGGTTACGATAATATGGATTGAATCACCTAATAGAAACAGTGGGAGAGACAGGACCCTTTTCAAAAAATATATATGTAATTAATAAATATAATTAAAACAAATAATATTAAAATAATTAATTCATACACAAAGAAATAATCAATTAATAAAAATATATTTTGCATAAACAACCACAACGAGTTTTCGTATTCGGAAAGAAATGCAAAATATATTCATTGTATACACTTTTAAGTAAGTCTTTTTCAATGTATCACACTAAACAAAATTGATCGTCAATTCAACTTTGAAGTTGTTTTTAATACAACTGAAGCTCCGCCTATGAATAGAAACATATGATATGATGCCAAATTGCTTGCCATTAAAGCTTCCATGGATTGGTCAAGAGGCAAGGTCAATGAGGAACAAAGCACATAAAATTTTGCTAAGTGTTTTTGATGTTTCAGGTGACCAAATTAGGAGGATTGGTTCGTTCAATTCACTCAATGGAAATTTGAGTTTGATGGTTTGTTTTGAATGTGGAGTGTTCCTCTACTATGTGGATGATCTAGGAGTTCAAGATGAAGTCTGGAAGGCAATGGTTGAAGCTCTCCAAGTTGCCAAGTCAAACCCGAGAATCTGCCTATTTTTGCCTAAGGCAATTAACGAGTTCAAGGAGCCTACTTTGAAGCCTAATATTTGGAGTTTGGGACACATCCAAATGCCAATTCGAGTTGGAGAGTAAAATAGAAATATAGAATACTTTCTAAACCCAGGGAAGGAGTTGGATGAGACTAATTCAGCTTGGAAGACCATTTTTGAGGCTCCCAAAGAATCTCCCTCAAACTGCCAGCAATCGGAATCCCATAAAGATCCCTAGTCCTATTCAGATTACATGTGTAATTTAGTTTCGTTGTTGAATTAGGTTAATTTCACGTAGTCTTTAGTTTTCTTTGAGTTTATTTAAGCCTATAAAAGGCCTCAATCGTGTATTGTACAATTCAGAGTTGAAATGGAGTAAAAGGCCTCAATCGTTCAGGTGCAACTAGCGAAGCAAGACGAGAAGTTCGCGGCTCTCACAGTCTGATTCGATGACTTGACTAAACAATTCTCGACCCTGAATCGGCAAAGAGGAACGACGAAGACAGTCCAAACAGGAGCCCGATTTTTCCCCAATACCAACGTTACTCAGCCGAGAAATTTTGAAACGCCGCCGGTAAATCGAAACCAGGGAGCTGACCAAGTCCTAGCCGAGCGAGTTCAAGAATTGGAGCGTCAATTGACGGCTCTGGAGATTCCCAATGATGACAGGAAATTCCGGAATCGAGGCCAATTCGATTACCACTAGACTGAATGTGAAGAGGAAGAACTTCCGGTGTCCGAATTGCGGGGGATTAAACTGTCAATCCCAACCTTTCATAGGACGAACAATGCGTTAGCTTACCTGGATTGGGAGAGTAAGATTCTCTTGTTCTTTCGGTGTGGACATTACTCTGAAACCCATAAGGTGCTCTTAGCCACCTATGAGTTTCAGGACTACGCCGCACATTGGTGGGAACAAATCCAAGTCTGGCGACGACGTAATTTGCAGGCTCAGGTGACGACCTGGGAGGATTTGAGGGGCTTGATGCGCGAAAAGTTTGTGCCAGCATATTACTGGCGAGAATTACATGAATCCCTACAGGCAATTGTTCAAGGATCAAGAACAGTAGACAGATACTACAAGGAATTGGAATTACTCCTGACCAGAGCCGACATCCGAGAAGATCTCGAGGCGACAATCTCACGATTCTTATCTAGATTGAACAAGGAGATCATGTATGAGGTAGAATTACGCCATTTTGTTGATCTGGAAGATGCAATCCACCTGGCGATCAAGATCGAGAAGCAATTGAAGCAAACGAGGGAAGGCGATTTTCTGCGCCAAGATAATGCAGCATTCTTGAGCCTGCTCCGGTCGTTGTTCCCCCTGCAAATCGACCCATACAATTGAAGCCAATTGCTCCACAAGGAAGCCAGGATTGTGCTGGAAGCTTGACGAGTAAGCTCGAGTGTTTTAAGTGCCATGGCCGAGGGCACAAATCCTTCCAATGCCCTAATACGAAGACACTTGTCCTTCGTGATGGAGAATACTACTCCGAGAGTGAGGAAGAAGAGAAGCATCATGAAGAAAAATCCACTGAATATGAGGTCGATGAGGCCATTGATATGGAGGGTCCAGGAGGGAATTTCCTAGTCAACTAGAGAGCTCTCACAGTTGAAGCGGTTAGTGAAACCCAGCAACGATCCAGCCTCTTTCATACCCGCTGCCAAATTCAAGGTAAAACGACGTCCATGGTGATCAACGATGGAAGATGCACCAATGCCGTCAGCTTGGAGACAGCGAGGAAGCTTGGCTTGAACACTATCAAGCATCACAATCCCTATAGCCTGCACTGGCTCAATGATCATGGAGCTGTGAAGGTGACGAAGCAGACATGGGTTGAGTTTGAAATCGATCAATACAAGGATCGAATTCTTTGTGATGTAGCCCCTATGCACGTTGCTCATGTCCTTTTGGGAAGACCTTGGCAGTATTATTATGGAGTTACCCACCATGGCAGATCAAACTACTATACTTTCCAACATGAAGGGAAGAAGCTCAGACTGACATCTCTGTCATCGACCGAGGTTCGTAACGACTAAAGGCAACTGGATTTCAATCGAGCTTAGGGAAAGGAAGAGAAGGGTACAAGGACAAGTTTAATTGGTGAAAGGCTGGTGCTCACTACGCTACAACAAGAAAGAAGCCCACACCGGCCCGAGAAGCAGCAGCTCTATTCCTCGTCAACGATGAGGCAGGGGAGGAGAGAGGGTCTATTGGGTGGAAACTTGAGATGCAAGTCGATCCATCCCAGCGGTGCAGAAACCTTCCATAGACCACCGAGAAGCTCTCACATGGATTCATTGGCATCGTTTCAACCTCAATCGATGGATCGAATTCGAGCCAAAAAGCCCCTAGGAGCGAGCAAACACGACCAAAATTCGGGGTTATTGGTTGAAGAGTTTGGGCACGATTCGATCCAAACTGCTAATGCGGAATCATTGAGAGAAGTCCCAGGAAGCTTTAGAAATCGGCAATTGAATGTGGCGATACCTGAAATCAAAAGCCCCGAAATCGAAAATCAGGGTTCCTTCTTTTTTAATGATGACGATGGCGGGAAACTTCAAGTAGGCGATTCGACGTTGAAGGAGATGAGTCGACACTGGAAACCGGTACAGAAATTCAATTGGACGCTAGGCGAAGCTTGGGGCAGTGTCGAATTGTGCTGGAGATCCCTAAGGACGAAAGCCCCAATCTGCTCGACGAAGAACATTGCTCTCGAGTTCAAGAACATGATGTTCGAGCAGCCTACATTGGATCCAATTTGAGATCAATTTTGTAATGCTTTTGAGGAGAAGAATGCTCAAGCTTTGAGGGCAAAGCTTTTTCAACAGGAGAGGCCTGATATGATCCCAAATTGCTTGCCATTGAAGCTTCCATGGATTCGTCCAGAAGCAAGGTCAATGAGGAACAAAGCACATAAAATTTGGCTAAGTGTTTTTGATGTTTGAGGTGACCGACTTTGGAGGCTTGGTTCGTTCAATTCATTCAATGAAAATTCGAGTTTGATGGCTTGTTTTGAAGGTGGAGTGTTCCTCTACTATGTGGATCGTCTAGAAGTTCAAGATGAAGTATAGAAGGCCATGGTTGAAGCTCTCCAAGTTACCAAGTCAAAACCGAGAATCTGCCTATTTTTGGCTAAGGCAATTAACGAGTCAAGGTGCCTACTTTGAACCATAATATCTGGAAGTAGTCTTTAGTTTTGTTTGATTTTGTTTAAGCCTATAAACAGCATCAATCGTGTATTGTACAATTCAGAGTTGAATTGAGTAAAAACCCCAAATTTCCCAACGTGAGAGTTGTGAGTTCGAGTTGGTTTTAGTTGCGATCAAAACTTGTTGAAACCCTAACCTATTGATTGAGAAACACACTCAATTATATTAAAGGCATCACTATAGCGATCGTGTAATCTCCCAGGTGTGAGATTCCCCCTTTGTTTCTGTTGGGTATGTGACTCGGACCTAGCCGCGCCAGGAGAACGCGCCGCCACCAAAGACACCCAGCGCGCCTCACTACGAAGAGCCCCAGCGCGGACCAACGCGAACAGCCCTTTTAGCGCGTCGCCTCGGCATTTCCCGGCGCGAAGCTCTTGAGCGCGCCACGGCTACGCGCACGCGAGAGGGTCAAAGCGTAGACCAGACCAAGGAGATGTTGAAAGCGTCGTCGCACTTCCCGATGAGTAGTCACATCAAGGTCCTAAGCACAAACCTAGATAAGTCTCTGTCGTGTCCTAGGTAGAGGCATGGCCTAAATCCCCTGTGTGTCAGTAGTCACATCATTGTACTCTCATGTAACCCAACCACTCACCCACCACCATGTAGCCTATAAATATAGCATTTACTACGGTGGGTGAATGGGATCGGAAAAAAACATTCTCCCTCTACAACATCGACTTCTCTCTCTAAACCTTCAGTTTTCCTAACTCCATCCTCTCCGATTCCTATCCAAGGGGAGATCACTGATCACCCTCCGTTTATTCTGCTTGACTCACTCTCTTCCACGAACCTACCTCCTACACCCAGCTAGGTTCAAACAGTTTCCATCCCATTGAAGCTCGAACTAGCTCATCCGAGCTTGTTTGAGACTCTGTTCGAGGCTTGATCAATCGTCTTACCTAGCCTAGCCTAGCCTAGCCAAGTAGCCATGGTGCGCTTTACTTTAGTTGAGAATACGGAATAACACTAACGTGCAGGGATAAGACCCGCGCGCGCCAGTCATCGAATTCATCGCCACCAGAGCATAACTGCGCTGCGTCCCTCCATCGTTCCGCCTTCTCTGCTTCTCCCTCTTCCTCTTCCTCTGTTCCATCAGAATTTCAGACGAGCATCTACTGCTGACTGACTGACTATGTTTCCCTTCCCCATCTCTTTTCCAAAACCCTAAACACTAATCATCATTCTCCTAATCCCTACAATGTTGCTCACTTCTCAGCAGCATCTCTTCGTCAACTCACCACCACAAACAGCCACTTTCTGCAGTAACACCTCCGCGGCCAACTCCCTCAATCTCTCCGTCAAGCTCCCCAATCACCGCCCTCCCCTCAGCTCCCGCTGCCACCTCGTCGGCTACAAAACCCCGCCGCCGCCGTGGAATCTTAATGTCAGAGTTCGAAATTTCAGCCCCTTCGCATACGGCTCCGACGGCGCAATAACCGCGCCGAGCAGCGCCGACGGCGGCGTGACTCTCGATGCTTGTCTTGCAATCGCGGAGTTCTTATGCATCTTCTCGTCGGCGATTGTCACGGTGAGCTACGCGGTGAACTGTACGGTTTTGAGCGGGAGAAGGACGGTGTTGGGGGTGATTGGGAGCAATGGTGCGTTCGCGTGGGGGGTGCTGCTGATGCTAAGCGGCGTGGTGATTGGCGGTTGGATAAGGCGGCGGCAGTGGAGGAGGATTTGCAAGGAATCGGTGCGGGAAGGTCGAGATAGTGTGAATTTGCTCGAGAGAATTGAGAAGTTAGAAGAGGATTTGAGGAGTTCTGCTACCATTGTTAGGGTTTTGTCCAGGCAGCTTGAGAAGTTGGGGAACCGGTTCCGGCTTACCAGGAAGGCTTTGAAAGAGCCTATAGCTGAGGTATATCCACTTCATTTCCCTGTTAATTCCTTCGACTTTTAACTTCTAGTTTGATCCATCTAGAGTCATTTGCTGAAAATGCAAGATCATTGGTTTATGAGTACCTGGTTTATAAGAAAGATTCTTGTGGTAGTCTAAGGCATTAAAGCTTTCTTCTTTCTATTGGCTTTGCTTGTACACTAGGACTGAAGCATTCCTTGTAGCCACTCTAGCCTTTTCCATTTCCATTTCCCTTTCCCCTGTGAGAATCAGTGATCAGAATTCCAACTGCCACTTTCTTGATAGGAGTTTAAGAACTATATATATTTTCAGATTATTTACTTCTGTTTGATAGCAGCTTAATGAGATATTGCATCTTATGAAGCTAAACTCCTGTATGACTGTTTGGTGTTATGGAATTAGCTAGGACATCAGTGCGGGTGCTTCATTTACTATACGTAAAGAGAGACCACAAAATGAGTTTGGTCAGATAGCTAACTTAAGCAGTAATCAGTATTTCAATGCTTTTGTTTGGAAGTAAGAACATTTTTGTGGTGTATTCCTGTGGACAACTTGGATAACATTAACAATGAACTTTAGGCTAGAAGGGAGTGTATCACTGGATTCTCCAAAGAATTAATCACTTGATGGGCTTTCGAATCGTACAACTTCAGATTTGGGCATTAACGTGTTGGTTTACTTTTAACTTATTTCTTTCTATCCATGGAGGGTGGGATGTTAACTCCTCTTTATGAACACTTCAAGACTGCAGCTTTGGCTCAAAGGAATTCTGAGGCAACCCGCGCATTAGCAATGCAAGAAGACAATCTCGAAAAGGAGCTTGGTGAAGTTCAGAAGGTTCTCCTTGCAATGCAGGTAGATTTCTGTAACCTGCTCTGTAGTCCTTCATGCCAAAAGCACAGTTTACCGAAGTTCTTATATATTTGTGTAATGTAGTTGATATTTAGGTAAGGTAGTCATTCTTACGAGCATAATGAGTTTTTGTGACCAAAACTTGTCTGGTGGTGCTCTCTGGAATCAAAAAAGGTTAACTTGCGGAAGAAACAACTGTTATCGTGTTCTGGGAAGTTGTTTTTGTCGTCTCAGTGGCATACTTGTTTGACTTGGCTTGTGTTTGAGTACTTTTTGTAGGAGCAGCAAGAAAAACAACTAGAGCTGATTCTTGCAATTAGTAAGGTTGGGAAACTATTGGAAACTAAGCCAGAACGTAGGCCGCAACAAGATGTGGTTAAAACATCTCAACTGAGTGAAGGAGTAAAACAATTGGATGCCCATGAACCTCTAGTGTCTGGTGCAAGAAAGGGAACCAACAGCGACACATCATAGCTACGGAAGGCATCTTCATTTGGTAAAACTTGCGTATGAAGTGGGCAGTGGTTTGGTCTTTGGATGAGTTGCAGTATCTATCCCCTGGAATTTTTGACCTGTCATAGTATCCGAGAGTTCAATTCTACCTGGTGCAACTCCCCGGTATAGCTTCTCCAAATGACAACAGTCGGCTTCTACATCTACCATTTTCATTAACAGCCTGGAACGTGGTGTTCGTGAATTCTTGGTTGAACCATTGAGACCAAATTTGTTCGTTTTGCTAAGCCCCCTGTTAATGTAATTTGGGAAAGGTAGTCTATATTTTGAGTTACAAAGTGCAGCTTCTGTGGAGAACTATCCTGGAACGAAGTTTTGATTGCCAACTTTCTTAAGTAGGATAGAAAGTCAAAGCAAAGGGAAAGGTGGAAAGATTAACAAGTTACTATCAGAGCCCTTATAGTGTGCTCTATAGCACCCATGCTATAAAAAAGGTGACCTGTTGAGGAGGTAAACCCACTAAATGACTGGTCCCACATCATTAATGGCAATCTTGTAAATAATGAATCAATGTATACAAGTGTAGGTACAAATTAGAGTTGTACCATATCGTATAGGTACAAGTTTCAGCTGTACCATTGAAGAATTTGTTTCACAAAGTGTAGGTACAACTTAAAGTTGTACTATTAGTATAGGTACAATTTTGAGTTGTACCATGAAGGGATTTATTAGAAAGTGTAGGTACAACTTAAAATTGTACCATGTTATAGGTACAAGTTTGGGTTGTACCATAAAAGAATTTTGAGAAAGTGTAGGTACAACTTAAAGTTGTACCATTAGTATAGGTACAATTTTTAGTTGTATCATAAGGGATTTGTTAGAAAGTGTAGGTACAACTTAAAGTTGTACCATGGTATAGGTACAATTTTGAGTTGTACCATAAAGAGATTTATTAGAAAGTGTAGGTACAACTTAAAGTTGTACCATTAGTATAGGTACAATTTTGAGTTGTACCATAAAAGAATTTTGAGAAAGTGTAGGTACAACTTAAGGTTGTACCATTAGTATAGGTACAATTTTTAGTTGTACCATAAAGAGATTTGTTAGAAAGTGTAGGTACAACTTAAAGTTGTACCATGGTATAGGTACAAGTTTGGGTTGTACCATAGAACGATTTTTAGAAAGTGTAGGTACAACTTAAAGTTGTACCATGGTATAGGTACAAGTTTGGGTTGTACCATAGAAGGATTTTGAGAAAGTGTAGGTACAACTAAAAGTTGTACCATTAGTATAGGTACAATTTTGAGTTGTACCATAGAGGGATTTGTTAGAAAGTGTAGGTACAACATTAAGTTGTACTATAGTGTATAGGTACAATTTTTAATTGTACCATAGAAGATTTTTAGGAAAGTGTAGGTACAACTTTAAGTTTAGTGTAAAGGTACAACTCTAGAAAGTGTAGGTACATCTTAATTCCACGGCTGTTATTTTGACAAAATGAGCTGTGCGAACGTTTGAGTGGCAGCTGTGTGTTTCAATAGAATGTGAGATTTTGACGGGCGTGACAATGTCAAGTAGTAGCCGTGAAATTTCCTGGGATAGTGAGAACTGCTCTTTGCATGTCACGGGACATCTCACGGTCGTGATATTTGCCTGAGGAATGAAACACTGCTTTTTACATCTCACTTGAGTATTTTACGGTCGTGAGATTACCAGTATAAGGTGTCAGATTTCCAGTAGGAGACTTTCACCTGTGGAACATCTCACGGCTTATTCTCACGCCCGTGAGAATTAACAGATGAGCCGTGAGAAGTACAGCATTCAAATCCACAACACGGCTCATCTCACGGCCGTGATACTGTCGAAGGCAACCCGTGAAAACCTCTGGGAAACTGAGAAGTGCGTTTTTACATCCACGGTCTCTCTCACGGCCTATCTCACGGCCGTGATATTTCCAGAATTACAAATCCAAAAACACGCCTTCTTTCACGGCCGTGGGATTTCCAGAATTGGCCGTGAGATTTCCAGAAATAGTCTGCACAGACATTCACCTGTAGAACTAACCCTTGTACTTATTATAATGGTGTAAGTAACATAATATACTATTTGTGAAAACTACAAACTTATGAAAAAGATGATTCATAATGTTCTCTAAACCTTGACATGAGCATTACATAGATCCATTCACAATGTTCTCTAGTAACTGTACATCATATCAGATGAGATACCCTGTTAACAAAAAGTAAAACGCAGTCAAAGCATTACATTTGTCTAATAAAACTAGCATCCATAACACGAATAAATCTGTCTAATTAATGCTTAAGTTTAGCTGCATGTAGCCCACACTAGTGCATCATAATATCCTCGTTAGTGTTCTTCTCCTCGTCTTTGTTTTCCTGGATTTTCTCATCTTCATTGTCCTCGCTAGAGTCACTGCCCTCTTCCTCATTGGTGTCATTGTCCTCTTCACTGCTTTCCTTGTTTTGTTCATCGTCGTTGCCCTCGTCGTCCTCTTCACTGCTGTCTTCCTCATTGGTCCCTTTGTCCTCTTGATTTTTTCCCTTGTTTTGGTCATCGTCGTTGCCCTCGTCGTCCTCTTCACTGCTGTCTTCCTCATTGGTCCCTTTGTCCTCTTGATTTTTTTCCTTGTTTTGGTCATCGCCATTGCCCTCGTCGTCCTCTTCACTGTTGTCTTCCTCATTGGTCCCTTTGTCCTCTTGATTTTTTTCCTTGTTTTGGTCATCGCCATTGCCCTCGTCGTCCTCTTCACTGCCCTCTTCCTCATTGGTGTCATTGTCCTCTTCACTGCTTTCCTTGTTTTGTTCCTCTCCTTTGTCCTCTTGATTTTTTTCCTTGTTTTGGTCATCGCCATCGCCCTCGTCGTCCTCTTCACTGCTGTCTTCCTCATCGGTCCCTTTGTCCTCTTGATTTTTTTCCTTGTTTTGGTCATCGCCATTGCCCTCGTCGTCCTCTTCACTGCCCTCTTCCTCATTGGTGTCATTGTCCTCTTCACTGCCTTCCTTGTTTTGTTCCTCTCCTTTGTCCTCTTGATTTTTTTCCTTGTTTTGCTCATCGTCATTACCCTCGTCATCCTCTTCACTTCCCTCTTCATTGCTTTCCTCGGTTGGCCTAGGAGATAGTTCCCAAGGTCTTGAGAATTTGTTGTAGTCAATCCTCAAGGACCTCATGATCTGATGGTTGCATTCGATGATGTAGCGTCGAGCTTCCTTCTCTCGATCGAGGCGGGAGAGAATGAGTGCATTTTGCTCCAGAATTTGGGCATTCTGCCGACCCAATGCCTCAAAATGGGATATGTAGCTGTCGGTGGATGGTCTGGCTTGAGTCGTAGTTTGGTGATGTTGTGCAGGTTGTTCCGGAGTCTCCTCGACCATTTGCTGAACAACATGCTCCGATGCGTTTGCCTCATCTATTGCAAGAGGTGGAGCAGGATGAGGGAGGCCAACAATGCCTACCACACCATTCTCCTTAACCACCAAACACAGACGTGATCAATATCAGAAGCATTAGTTACATTTGCTCAATGTTCAAAAGGAACTAGATTAGGAGGCAATCCAAAACTTGCACAAAATCAATCCTAGATTGTTTGAATCCCGACTAGTTCTGTTTTAGCATTCACTGTGAAAAGGAAAGTGTTGGTTGGAACATTTACCTTTGACAACAAATTTAGATCCGCAAGGTTTTTTTGGGAGATTGGTTGAGTGGACTGGGCAATGGTGCAATGAGAACCCACCGGATCAATGCCAAAATGCCGAGCTAGCCTTGTGATGTAGGCACCTCCATGGATGGTCTTGATTTGTTTGTTGGAGGTCATCTTCTGTAGGGTTTTCAATATGACTAAACCAAGATGAATTGGGGGATCTTTTACCATAGAGAGGAAAAAGTTCAAATCCCGCTTGGTCACACTCCCCGGGCTCCCCTCCCTAGCTGCCACAGAATGAGCGATAATGTTGTGGATGATACGCCACGGGGGAAGAAGATCATTCCCTTTATAGTGGGCAGGGTCAGACTTTGCCACATGGTTTTGTTTTACCCTTTTCCACATAGCATCGACCGATGGTGCTCTTGGATGATATATTTTCTCTGAAATAAAACCATGTCCATCTGTGGTGAGAAATCCTGGTGGGTATATCTGGAGTGCCTCTGTGAACTCAGTGATGCTCATCTGTCTCGCCTGTCCTCCAAGGCAAAAAGTTATGTTGTCTTCGAGCTTGTCGAGGTTAAACTCGGACATTTTCTTGATGGAGAGAGTGCTGAGGAACTCAATGGTAAGCTCTCGGTAGATGACCTCATTGATGGAGAGAACCTCACACCATGCCGGGAGACGGAGGCATGTGCGAACGGGGTCCGCTGCTCCGAGGCGCTCTAGGAGATCCCAATCAAAGCATCTTTGCTGCCCAAATGGGAGGGGAAGGAAGCGCTCCAAAGCCCTCCTATGTTCGACGGGTAATTGGAGGAAGCCGTGAAGTCTCCCTCCTCCAAGTTGAGCCTCCGCTTGTGGTGGTGGTGGTGGTGGAGATGGTTGGCGTGCCCGTCCTTGGTTGTTTGTGCGTTGTCGTTTGGGGGGAGTGTCTCGTTCTTGGGTTTGGGGGCGACGACGAGGAGGAGCCTTCACTTTAGCAAGTGAGGCTGATGGTTGCGTGGTTTTCTGTTTAGCTTTCCCCATTCCTACAAAAACCAACTAAGCACATTTAGTCTTTAGTGAATGAGAGGGAAAAGAATTATGCATAAGCATATGCAATTCACAAATCAAGGAATCTGGTATGCTTTACAGTTTTCAACAAAGATACTGGAAGATATAGACTTACAGACTTCTCCCTTGACGTCTCTTTGAGTATTCCATCCTCGTCGATCTCCAAGGTATCCTCTACTATTGTAACTCCCCTTGGAGCTGGGGTGATACCGGACAGAACAAATTTTCCAAGCTAGATGCAATCCTTGGTCAGGGGTCTTTCACCCATTGCATCCCTCCCACTCAAAACTTCTCTCTATGTATTTCGATCTCTCTGTATTTCAATCTCTCTCTGTATTTCAATCTCCATCTCTTTGCTTCCTTCCTTGTCCAAGGATAGTATCCAGCTTGGAAAATTTGTTCTCCTTGCTTTCTTCCTTAGAGATCGACGAGGTGGTATACTCAATGTGACGTCAAGGGTGAAGATCCCAGGAGCATTCTAATCACGTCTACACCATCAATTGCTAGATCAAGTAGCAGAAATATTGTAGCTAACCTAAATTCATGCTTTTATGACATTACAGCCCGCAACTACCATTAGCCATATAAACTGCCCATCAATTGAAGTTCATTTTAAATCAGGTTTGTAATAACAATAGCAGTGATGAACAAGAGCATCTGTCTCCATATAAATGGGTTTCCAGCTAAGTACAAAATCAGTAATGCAATTCTCCCGCAAAACTTAGACCGACTGCAAAAGGGAAAAAGCGAGTACTGCTATAGCCACCAGCAATTGCTAGATCAAGTAGCACATTATTACTATGTCAAACTATGAGAGCATTGCAAGAACAGTAGAATGACATTGAGGAGGCTGCTGTGGGGTGAAGATAGAAGAAGAACAAACCATGAAGCCTTCTGGAGAAGTCATCCCA